GACCATGCCGGGTCGGGTCAAGTCTTACCAATTATAGTTATGGACTTAGACATTAATCCAACAATTAGACCAAGATTTATCAGGCTATCCCACTTGACTGCAACAATCCCTTAGGGTAAACATTCAACAAACAATCAATACTATCATTACCCTAACCAATCATGACACCTAGGAGTATCATATAAACCTCAGACAAGAGTTTATCAGTCTAGCATACCGTGACACCAAGTATCCTAAACAACACAAACATAACAAGGAGTTAACCTAGTCAACTAGCATACTTGTACTCTAATAATGTCTCTATCCTACCATGCAAAGGATATATAACAGGATATGTCGAATAGTGAGAAACTCACCTGAATTAAAGAACTGGAGAAGCACAACAACACTCTCACATCTTGCACTACTCAATCCCACAAACCGACTAACACCAAAAGAGATAAATCCTCAATAAACAATCCAAATCCTCCAAATTTGTCCCTAAGTCAAACCGGTCAAAAGTCAATGTTCAGCGGCCAACCAAGTCAATAGCCACCACTGCGTGGAGACCTCTTAGCCATGTCGTAGGTGTGAAAGGACAAAATAGAAGACAAACAAGACATCACCATGTCGTAGGCATGTCTAGATAAAACAATCGTGAAGCTGGACTCCATCGTGTCTTGGTCACTTGCAGAAACCATTTTTCTCATTAAAGACTTAATGCATTAAGTCCTTTGCTCCAACATTCTCCATAAGGCTCCCTTGCCCTCAAATAAACCATAAAAATCCTTACTTTATAGGCATGCATCTCCAATGCATGTCTCTCCCAAACTAGGTCAAAATAGGGTAAGAAATGGAGTCAAAACTCCATGCATGGCACCAATCAACATGAAAGTCTATATATGAAATATATGATGACCTAAGGACCTCAAGAAGTGATAAAGCCGCCAACTTTATCAAAACCAATAATTCATATCAACATAACATGAAGGAAATGAGCTCAAAAATCTAGGTCTACAAGGGTGAACCATAAAGGTGAGAACTTGGAGACTTATATAAGTCCAGAAGATGCACCAAGAGATGGAGACACGATGCTAGATGATATTTTGCTCAAAAAAGCATTCTTCAACCTTCAAATGACCAAAATACAAACAAAGAGCTCAAAAGACAAGAATAAAGGTTAGGGTTTCGAGATAGGAGGGTGGGTTGAGGGGAAATGACCTAACCCTAGAGATAAGGCCTTCAGATATGGAGGAAACCTTAAAAATTATGGGTTTGGGCTGCAACAGTTGTCATGTCGCGGCATCCCCTCATGTAATGACGTGGCGGTCATCAGATGCGCGATTCTTGAAATTGTCATGACACGTCGTGGTACTCCATTCACCATGTCGTGTCATATGGGTTTTCATCAAAAACTATATCTTTTACCCCATCAAGTCTTCAAATGATCCATTATGGAAAACGGGTGTTACAAAATATTAAGCTATAATCCAATTGACATTTAGGTGTTGTTTGTTTTTTTATTCCTAAAAAACCATTTCTGACCATTTATTGATGCGTCACGCAACACACGTGCAACACTTGGTATGACATCCCCAATTTCACGGTCAGGAAAGGCCGATTTGTTTATGCTTTATTTGGAAATCAGTATCATTTTAAAGAAAAGTGTTGCGGAATTTGTTCCCAGAAAAACATGATAAATATATTATCAAAGCATTTCCGAATAAATGTATTTAGTTTATATTAAAACTTTGGGATGTCATCGTTAATACAAAAACATATATTACATTCATTTACACTATTGATTTACATCTCTTTTAATCTCTCAGTGTAGTGTAGCTTCGTATCGACACTTGTGATACAAATAAACTGAGCGAGTCATATTGGGAAACATGGTGAGTACATAGGATTTTCAATCCCACAATGTTATATCAAATATTTATTTATTTATTTTTTAGTTTTTAGTTAGTAAAATGGTCCTTAGACTAATTAAATATTATAGAAATTATCTCTATTTTAACAATAAAGTTACATAAATAGTCTATCATATATGTGTTTTTATAGAAATCGTTTCTATGTATGACAAAGTTACAGAAAATTATAGTAATAGTGTAAATTTTTTTAAAAAGTTGTCCTTATATAAACCAAACCAAAGTATTTTTTTAATTATTTTGATTCATATCAACTTTTCATATTAGTTTATTTATAAAAGATACAAGGTTAACAATATGGACAATGACATAAATGCCCTGAAGGTTTTACAAAATATTTGGTTTTATCTTTACGTATTTTGGATTATTAAAGCTGAAAATTAGTAATTTTTTTTTTCAATTTTACCCTTTTGTTCACTAAAGCCTTTACGTTTGAGAGAGATGTTCGGTCTTACCTTTTTGTTTATAAATGTTCTTAAGTTTGGTGTTCTGATTCATTAAAACCCTTAAGTTTGGTAGAATATTCGGTAAATCTGTAAAAGGGTAAAATTGAAATTGTTATTGTAAATTTCCAGCTTTAATAAACGGAAAATACACAAAAATATAAAATCAAATATTTTATAAAAAAATTAAGGGCTTTTTTATGGTATTAGAAAAAAAATTCCTTTACGGATACATACGTCGTTCGATTCGAAAAGATGATGTGAAAAACGGGCCTTTATCTTCTTTCCAGCTTTCACGATCGGACCGGTTTAGAATTGGACCCAAAAAACTATACCGGACCAGTTACAATCTGGATGGGCCTTAAGCAAATACACAAACCCGGTCGGAACTCGAACCGACTAAAAAATAACCATATGGAAAAGTAGAAATATAAACCAAGAATTAGGGTTCCTCCGGGCTCTGTATTCTCTACTCTAAGCTCACGCTTTCAGCTTAGCAATCAGGTATCCCCTCTCTGATGTTCATAATCATGCATTCCCCTCGAATTTCGGTACTCTCTGCATCTGCATCCGCACCTTGCCCTATTTGAGCTCTGAAACAGTTTGTAAAGTCTAAAAAAGTTGGTTTTTTAACGAAAAACAGGGTGTATGTATGTGACAAGTTACAAAATTTTTGGTAAAAAAAGCGAATTAAATGCAACATATGATGTTGCTAATCCTGCTGGTTGAAACATGGTGTAGAAAGTTTGAAGTAAGTTCATTTTTACGGAAATTTGCTGCTCTACTCTTTAGAAACCAACCTCACTTATGCTGTTTTATAAACAATTTTGACACACATACACTCATGGGTCTGTATTTAATATCGCCATTAGTTCTCTAGGATTCGCTCTCTATTTTTCCTTGTTCTTTGTGATCGGAAACAATATTCTATAGTTAATTATAACATTAGATTCTCTTTCTTTTCAGATATTCACTATCTGACAGTCGCATATCTCTTAAGCTTTGTATTATTGGGTTCCATCTGCAATCATGTAAGTATATGCAAAAATTAATGATCTTTCACAAGGAAAATTGCACTAATATATTGTTGTTTAGCAAGCTATTAGTAAAACCCTTACAGTTGCAAAGAAAATGACTACTTTTTATAACAAAAACAACCAAATTTTATACTTTGTGAAGGTCTCGAATATGTGTGAAAAATTTGCCAAAACATGCAACTGAAGAACGTCTTCGAGATTATTTCTCTCAGAAAGGAGAAGTAACGGATGCCAAACTCATGCGAACCAGGTATCTTGATTACTTTTCAGCTACAAAGATACCTGATGTATTCATCTTGTTCGTTCTTATTTAATTAATTTTAAATTTAATATTCTTCCAGAGATGGTAAGAGCAGACAATTTGGTTTTGTTGGATTCCGAAGTGAAAAAGAAGCTTCAGAAGCTCTCAAATTCTTTAATGGTTCGTTCATTGATACTTACAGGATTTCTTGTGAGGTTTGTGATTCACTTTATCATATAGTCTTTGTTATGTTTCTTCCATCATTATTTATTTCTTAAAAGAATTGTAATTTTATATACAGATTGCTCGCAAAGTGGGGGACCCAGAAATGTCACGTCCATGGAGCCGACATTCTCTCAAGAAACAAGAAAAGTCAACCCTTGAGAAAAAGGAATCTGTTAAATCCATGAGCTCAAATCACGAAGTTACACCAGAGGTAAAGATTGAATCCGAGAATGGTGATCTTCAGTTCCAGGAGTTCCTTCAAGTCATGCAACCCCGTGCAAAGTCAAAGTTATGGTCAAATGATCTTTTGGAAGCCAACAAAGGGGAAGACAAAGACAAAAAGAAATTGAATTCAAAATCTTCAAAGTTGAATGAAACCAGTGATAATAAACCTGATGAGATGGAAAGTAACATGGAACATGATAAAGCTGTATCCGATACAGATTACTTTAAAAGCAGGGTAAAAAAAGATTGGTCGGATACTGATACCGATACAGATACTGATATTGAAGATGTTAATGGGGATGTAGAGGAGGTCAAGAATGATGAAGAAACAGAAGCTGAAGAACCCACAAACACAATTGAAAACCCTAATGAGACTGATGAGGTGGATGAACCTTCATCAAGCTTAGAAGATGAAGATGATGTTCTACAAACTGGTCGTCTTTTTGTTCGTAATCTTCCATATACTGCTACGTATGTGTCTTATCTTATTCAAATTCAAACTCTCATATTTAAAGATTATCAAGTTATGTTTCCAATCATGTTGCTGATTTGTTATGGAAAAAAAAAACAGGGAAGATGATCTAAGAGAGCACTTCAGCAAATTTGGCAGTGTATCTCAAGCCCATTTGGTGGTTGATAAAGAGACAAAGAGATCAAAGGGAATTGCTTACATTCTCTATGCACTTCCAGAATCCGCAGCTAGGTTTATATTTTTTTCATTTATTTTTGTTAAATTTTCGCGTTTTCTTTGTTTGTAATTTTATTATTGATCTGTAAAGGGCACTAGAAGATCTTGACAACTCTATCTTCCAAGGAAGACTTTTGCATATCATGCCAGCAAAGCAGAAAATTCTTCCTGTGAAAAAAGAGTAAGCATATCAGTAAACCATGATTCTATTGTTTTTTTTATTTTCTAATGAGCTCATCATTTAAATTATATTTTGTTGGATCAGTGATTCTGCTATTCATACAAAGACATTTAAGCAACAAAGAGAGGATAAGAGGAAGAAATCTGAAAATAGTGGAGATACAAGAGCATGGAACAGTTTATTCATGAGACCAGATACAGTATATGATTCAAACCTTTCTTAATTATCTTTAAAACTTAATTTTCCAAACATTAAATGCAAAATATTCATACTTTTTTTTTGGTGGAACAGATTGTGGAAAACATTGCTAGGGAATTTGGTACAAGTAAAAGTGAACTACTTGATCGTGAAGCTTCTGATGTAGCTGTACGTATTGCATTAGCAGAAACTCAAGTAATTGCAAAGACCAAAAAGGCCCTTTCAAATGCTGGTGTTAATGTAACTTCTTTAGAGAATTTTGCAAGTCAAAATACAAAAACACAAGGTGTTAAAAGAAGCAACCATGTTATACTAGTTAAAAATCTACCATATGGTTCTACTGAAACTGAACTTGCTACCATGTTTGGAAAATTTGGAAGCATTGACAAAGTTATTCTCCCTTCAACCAAAACTCTCGGTTTGGTATGCTATGAATATGATATTCTTGCTTCATATTATGTTATTTATTTATTTTATTTTATATTCATTTGATGATGTCATAAATAAATATTCAGGTGGTTTTTCTTGAACCTGGGGAGGCTCGTGCTGCATTTAAAGGTTTAGCTTACAAGAGATACAAGTAAGTTCATACTTAATTACCAATTTAAAGTTATATATTTGTTAATTTGTATTTTGTTTTTTTTATATAATTTAGAGATGCTCCATTGTATTTGGAATGGGCACCTGGTGACATTCTGAGTGAAGATCCAAACTCCATAACTGATGAGAAAGAAGCTTCTGTTGTGGTTGAACATGAAACCAAAAGAGCATTACTAGAGCAACAATTGGAAGGAACAACAGATGCTGCTGATATTGATACAGAAAGAGTTGAGGTATGTGAATTGCTTGTTTTTTTTTACAGAAATAGCAATGTACTTTTTTTTTTAAATTTGTTTTGTTCATTATAGCATCCTACAAATAAATGAAAGTAGGTTGCTATTTCTTTGACTTAGGTCTTTTTATTTTTTGCTAAACATAAACTGCTTTCTGTGTTGTTATCAGTCAAGATCGCTTTTTGTCAAGAATCTGAATTTTAGAACCACAGACGAGGGTTTGAAGAAACATTTTGTTGATCATGTAAAGCAAGGAAAGCTCCGAAGTGTCAGGGTATAATTGTCATCCCTTTGCTCTATATTTTACTTATCTTTTTGCATGTAAATGGCGATTATACCCCTGTGTTAACGCAGATAAAGAAGCATTTGAAAAATGGGAAAAACGTGTCGATGGGTTTTGGATTTTTGGAGTTTGATTCCGTGGATACTGCTGTAAAAGTTAGCAGAGATTTACAGGTATGATAGATAAGTTTTTATGTTGAAGAGGGTATTTATGTCTTTTACATGGTTGTAATGATGCTGTTTAACATATTTCTTTTCAGGGAACGGTTTTGGATGGGCATGCTCTAATATTACAGTTATGCCACGTGAAGAACAACGAGAGAGTAAAAGAGAAAGTGGACAAGGATCAAAGTTCAACAAAGTTAATTGTGAGAAATGTAGCTTTTGAAGCTACAGAGAAAGAATTAAGACAACTATTTAGTCCATTTGGTCAGGTAAATGTGGTTTACCAATAATTACTATTATATATTTCTATCATTATAGTCACTAAATCGATGAAACTGTTACATTTACAGATAAAGAGTTTAAGGCTTCCAACAAGGTTAGGAAAGCATAGAGGTTTTGGTTTTGTGGAGTATGTAACAAAGCAAGAGACTAAAAACGCCCTTCAAGCTCTATCAAATACTCATTTATATGGGCGTCATTTGGTATGTTTTTATGCTTTTATATTACTTTAAAAACTATAAAATTTGCTTCATTTGACATGTTAAAGATTAAAACATACTTCATATGTTTATTTGCAGGTTTTGGAGAGAGCCAAGGAAGGAGAGAGTTTAGAAGAGTTACGGGCTCGAACAGCAGCTCAATTTGTAGATGAGAGTACCGGTTTTCAAAACCCTACAAAACTATCTTTAAAAAGGAAGCAACTTGATATCTAAAATCAACTTTTAAAGGTCCATAGAATGTTGCTTTGAAAAATAGGGTAATGTTTTGTATCTTTTGTGCCAATTTTGTATTTCTTTATTTATTTGTAATGATAACAATTGTTGGGTGCTAAAAGGTTGAGGGAAAAGAGTTTGATCATTTTTAAAATTCACATAACTTTTAATGTCGAGTCACTTTGTAGACAGCACAATCAACTCACAATTGTTGGTGCCAAAATGTTGAGGAAAAAGACGTTTCCGTATTTCCCATTTCTAGAGAGACAACAAGTGCTTCTGCTACCCATTCAATAATATGTTGAGCATTTCTATATTAGAAATGCTTAAAACTTCTTTTTGCATTTCCAAATTGGTTTCTACTTGCAAAAAAATTGATCCTAAATAATGCAACCTTTTTATAAATTACTACGGTAAGAATATTATTACAATCACAATCTAACTTTTGAAAAAAGCTATTTAGGTGTTGTATGTATCGACATGATTCATTTGACCCGTTTTACATGATTGTCCCATATCGCTCATTTGACCCGTTTTACATTTAGCTGATTTTTTTGTTATTTGTAAGGATGTAACTGATTCCGGAACCAAAATAATGAAGACCGATTAAGGTATAAATAGGGACCCGAGTATCAGACCAAATACCACTAGCTGTTCCAGCAGTTTTCGGTTCTGGTTCCAGTTTGGTTTTACTAGGAAATGTGTTTTCTAAGAAGGTGTTCAGTTTGTCGATGAAAATACTAGTTTTCAAAACTCTATTAAAGCTTGATATCTAGAATCTAACTTTCAAAAAAAAAATAAAAGTTGGTACTTGGAGCTTTTTAATTATGCTTTCGGTAGTTGAAAGTTTTGACTTTCATAGAATGAAAAATAGGGCCATTTTTGAATCTTTTGTGTAATTTTGTATATTTTTTATTTATATATTAGATTAGATATTTATGTTTTAAACGGGTTGATTAAAAGGAAATATTAAATAGGAAAGGAATAAGCATTCAAGGTTTTAAATTCGTTTCCTATTTATGTAGTATTATATATAGAAGATAGAAGATAGAAGATGTTTCTTTTATCGATGCCCCTTTAATAGTGTTTTTAGAAGGGCATAGATCATTGCGGACACTAAAAATAACATATTATACTGTAATTAGAATGCATCGAATTTAGACCGGTATACGGGACATAAAAAGTCTCTTGATAATTCATTTGTGCAAAAAGATCTAATCGTCATTATCCTGATAAGCTTCATGGTTTGAGGGACCAAATATGAACTTGAATTATCTCTAAGTTTAACGGTTATAAACATCAAGTTGATGCTAATTTATGTTTGAAAAATAAAACTTGTTAAACAACAGCTGGTTCTTGTTTCTTGCCGGATAAGACTGAATTAAGAACTTATCTTTTTATAATATCTCCAACCAATAATTGATTATTTAAAAACTCTACAATTAAGTGCTAACCAAATCGACAGTGATGGTGTGATATTGTGTTAAACCAAATTGTGCTGATCATTATTATTTGAACATGAGATAATTAATTTTATAGTGTTTAACAAAACCAACTTTGTATGATTGTATCTCATCATCTTTATAGTACATTGATTATTTTTAGTGAAATATATAAATGGTCCTTACAAAAACATTAGTACCCTGCAATAGTTCACTTTAATCAGAAGAATCCACATATCATTCGTAGTACTTATATTAAGAGTTTACATCAAGACACTTTTAGAGTCGTATTCGGAGTTACTTTACCTATTTTTTACGCAAAACAAAAAGAAAATAAGATACATATTTTCGAAAATCATAAAACTTTGATGTCATTTTCAGAAGTCCATTTCTAGACAACACAATCAGCTCACGGTTGTTGGTACTAAAAAGGTGAAGAATAATTAAGTAAGGATAAGAACGAGACTTGTATTGGTGATCTCAATCTCATATCCAATTATAAAACCATATTCTAAACGGTCCCGTAACGACGGATTCCCGGTTTCTTTAGTAAATAACCACTAGGTTTGCATGTATACCCATGGGTATCAGGTATCCCGGTTCGCATGGATGGGTTAATAATTTTAATATGTTAAAATTTACCCGTTAGAATTTTCATTGCCTAAAACCCGATCACAATCTTATAAAATGACTTAAATTTTTTTAATAATTTCAACTTCTAATAACTTTGGTTTATCATCACAGTTCACCTTTATCTTTTCCCATATATGGTGAAGTTAGTTTTTGTTTTCTCTCAAACATAATGTTGTCGTCATTAACATTTTATGTAACATCTTCTTGACTACGTTGTCCTTGAGATTGAGATTGATTTGTGCTTACCCATTGTCCTTGATTGCTATCAACATGTATTTGTGTGTAGAAACTCTCACAACCTATACTTACTTCTCCTTCCACATATATACTACTTAATAAGAAAGGACTAATATCACTAAAATCCCATGTTTTTGGCACTAAGTTGAAAAAAACCATGAATTTAATTTTTCATTGACTGTAACACAATATTTTCATGGAATTATGGCAAAATGGCAAAATACCGGTTTCATCGGTTTCAGCAGGTTACAAAGCAAAGACGAACGTTGAAGGTCAGTTGTTAGCTAGGTTTTGTTCCATTCTTCTCTCCAACGTCAATCCTGCAAGATGGCAAGCTCCTCCAACACGCACACACAAGGGTACATAGAATGGACTTTAAGGAATCGTTGGTCTGAAGATTTGACATGCGAGTGTGATGAACCCGCGACATTCTCGATCTCCAAAATTGTCGATAATCCATGGAGGAAATTCAGGGGGTGTCCAAACTATCAGTTAATATCAAGTTTCCTACTTCTTTTTGTGGTCTTGTTGAACCAGTATGAAGAAGTGGTTGTTGTGTAGGACTCAAAAAAAATATAATTTTTTTTATGGTTTGATCCACCACTGCCAAACACTTACTACAAGGAAACTATGTGGAAGTTCCATATGGATTTAGAGGGCTCTAAGAACAATAAAGCATTTGGAATGGATATTTTGAAGCTTTTGGAGGAGGCCGAGAACAACAAAGTAGTTCAAGTGGATATTTTAAACCTGTTGAAGGTGGTTCTACATATGATGGTCATGCTTTTGGTGGTGGTGATTATGATGGGGTTTATGGTTCACAATGTTGTGGTTAAAGCACTGTGAAGTTGTGGGCATTAGTTAGGTTCAGGTGGAATGGTAGTAGTAGTTTAGGTGTGAGGGTATTTTGGTCAAGTTAGATAGTAAGTTGATGCATGTGTTATGTATGGTAATTTTTTGGTGTTGTGAGAGATGACAATGATAACAACTTATTATGTCTTAATGATAACAATGTATTATGTCTTAGTAATGGCAATTGTAACACTCGGTTTCAAATCGTTTCATTATTCAGGGTCGTGGCCCGATAATCGGTTATCATAAGGCTTAGGGCCTTGGGGAGGAAGAGAATTAGCCCTTGTTGGATATGGGCATTATATATTAGGTGATCCGAGAGTTTGATTTTGTTTTGGAGCCCAATGGTATAATTGTAATTTGGCAGTTCGGGCCTTTATGAATTTTGGGTTTTTGTTCGGGAAGTTTTAAGGTGAGGGTGCGTTGATAGAAATGTAGGGCTTCTCGTCACCTTTTAGTGGATATAAAGTTCGTAGGAAACGAACTTAGGACGAAGGAGTTTTGATCAAATGAAGTTTAAGCTTTGTGAAGTTCATCGAGTACGCGGGGCGTACTTGTCGTGTACGCATGACGTAGTTCCTGGCCAAATTGCGGGTTTTTTTAGTACACCGAGCGTACAAAGGGGTACGCGGGGCGTACTCCCTTCAGCAAGAAACCCTAATTTCTAGGGTTTTACCCCTATTTAAGCCTCATTTATTCTTGAGCCTTGTTCCTTATCAACCTTCATGCCTCCTAAACCCTAATATTCAACCCTTAGCCACCATCTTGGAGTTCTTAAGCTTTTGTGAGGAATCTTGGAGTGTTTTTGTGCATCTTAAAGAGATTTGAGCTTGTTAAAGAATCATCACTTGGAGTGGGGCTTGTAGATCCAGAAGTTTCCCATCTTTTGCAATCAATTGAAGGTAAAAAGCTTTAATCTTGTCATCTTTTTTGGGTGGATCTAGTTTGGGGTGGTTGTGTCACATTTTGGTCTTTTTGGGTTGCCTTTATGTGAATGAGTTTGCTCCAGGAGTTTGGGCCCTAGATCTGGACGTTTTAGGTGTCCCAAATGCATAAAAATGCAATCTTGATGGATAATATCAACCCATGCATGTGTATTAGCCTCTTTGATGAAGTTGTAAAGTAAGAACTTGGATTTGGGACCAATTGAGACATGTTTTGGAACTATATCTGAGCATTGGACGTTTTGGCTTAAGGGATCAAGTCATTTTCTAAGTTGGTTGTGAGTAGGGTGAGTACGCGGGGCGTAGCTCCTAGTATGCGGTGTGTACCTCCTAGTACGTGGCGTGTATCGAGTCAAATGGGCGTACGTTGAGTGTACCAACTGAGTACGTGGGGAGTACTCAGTCTATTGGGTTTTCTTGATTCGTTGACTTTTTGACCTTAGACCATTGACCAAAAGTTTGAACAGGGTTGACCATTGGATATTTTGAGCCTTTTAGGATAGTGGGCCTTCTCGAATTAGGCCCATGATGGGTTTGGTCCCAATTTAGATATTTGGGCCTCATGGTGTTGTTTTAGGGTTTTGTGCTTATGATGCTAGTGGATTGGGATTTGGATTTTTGGCAAAACAAGGAAAAGGGTAAATGGACTTTTACCCTGAAAGGTTTGGTCATTGGACTAGAATTCTTGTTTGGGTCGAGAATCAATTATTGATGGAATATTATTTGATGATGTCAGTGCGAGGTTTCCAGTAGCAGCATTTCTAATGTTCGGTTGTCTTGGTTGGAGGTGAGTCTTCTCACCATATCCATGGGTCGAAGGCACCAATTCCAACTAATTACTTGTTATGTGGAATGCTAGTCATCTTTGTGATACTTTTTTGGAAGACCCTGGGGGTATCCTGTGGCATTTGTATGGAAGAGCATGGGGGTAGTCCATGGCACTTGGATGTCAGACCATGGGGCAGCCCATGGCATTTCAAGGAAAGACCATGGGGGTAGCCCATGGCACTTGGATGCCAGACC